GTTGAAAGGAAGCCGCGGGCACAGGGGTGCGAGGCCCGAGAGCCTCCCACCGAAATCCAAAGACCGCGGAGGAGGACGGTTTAAGGAACACGAGGAATGTGATAATATTGGCATCTAACCTTCCAGTGTTTGAGTAATTCGTTGCTTAGCTACTTTGGATAGGCCATTATTTTGCAAACTGGAAACATTTGCAAGTGGTGATATTTTGCTCCTGCCTGATGCAAGGGCTGCAAACCTACCCCGGCTCTGCTGAACTCTTCGAAATATATATGCATAAATTGTTCTTAATGAGACCATCTGTTTTTTATGGCCCCTCTGGAAGCAGGAGGAACCCGAAGACTGCTCTATCTTGCAGAAATCTGTGGCCAGGCAGGCCCGGGAAATAAATAGGGAAGATTAGAAGGGTGTGCGTGATTTAATAATATGCAGACAAGGGAGTTCGGTGGTCGAGATGTATGTTTGGGTTCCCAGGGGTGCGGGTCATTTAGGGTGGGTGACTGGGCTGCTTGGGGCATGAGGATTCCAACCAGTGGGCCTCCTAGAAGGCCCAGAAACTGTGCGGGATTTCACAGCACACACGAACGTCGCTTTTACATGCCTGGAACATCGCCAGAGCCACCACGCGAAATCGCGTGCCTGCCGTAGCTGCAGGGATCTAGCGCATATCCCGGACAGGGATAGCCCCCTGCGTCGCCCAATGGCCACGGCCTCTCTCGCCCCCGCCCCGCCCCCCGGGGGAGGTGAAGGGAGCCGGGCCTGGGGCACAGAGCCTGAGAATGCTCCGCACTCCATCCTACCCTCAGGCGAGAGTGCGACGCTCACCCGGGCCTGTCCCAGAGACTGAGCTTTCTGCTCGGCGTGCGTTTGGCAGGCCCAGGGGCGCGGCCTAAACCCACACCGAGGGTGGCAGGGAGAACACTTTTCGCATTACTGGGTGGCTGTTAATTGGGGCAGTGCAAAAGACGCCGAGCCTACCCCTTTGTGGCGGGGGTTGGAGGGAAGGATGGTCAGGAGTGGGCAATGGGGCTGCTTAATAATAGAGGGGCCGCCCTGGGGAGCCTCAGATATCGGTAACCCCCATGATTAATTCATAACTCTCCACTGTGCCTGGCACCGTCTCGGGTCTTTAATCGGTTCTGAATGTCAGCGAGGCTTCCCCGACAGGCTGAGCACAGTCTTTTGAATGTGTTGAAAGTCGCTGCGCGCACACCAGGAGACAAAGTTGCCATCTGCTCCGGGGACCACGGCAACTGGGCGCTGGGAGGGGCCTTCCTCCCTCGACTCCGGCTGCCCCAGCAGCCTCCTCTTCCCGGCTGGCCCCAATCCTTCCCCAAAGACAACACTGTCCCTCGCAACATTGCCACCCCACCCCCAGCCCAGGGCGCAAGCCGGGTGGAAAACTCAGGATCGCTGCGAAGTAGAGCGCGGCGCCAGGACGCGCAGGGCGCCTCGCGGTCACCCAGCCTCAGGCCTATGCTAATGAGATTACGAACCCGGGTTGTTGTGCGCGCGGAGGTGGAAGGGGGGCAGATAAAGTGTGAAGACCAGGATGACTTGGTGGGGACAGGGGAAGGCCCCGAGAACAAAGCTGCGGGTCGTCGGCCTAGAGCGAGTCGGAGGAGTGACCGCCACAGGCTTGTGCACAGGCGGAAGCAGGGGGAGGACAGGCCGGGCCTAAAGCGCCCTCGCCAGTTTAGAGAACGTAGAAAAGGCACATGGGGTAGGGAAAGTCTGAGCCTGTAGCCAAAGGTCTGGCCCTTAAGTCTCTTTTTAAGGAAATGGGTCTCTGGAAGGAGACGGTGGACATCGCGCCAGGTAGAGGTAAGCTGGAGAAGCCCTCTCCCCGCTTCTCTACCCGCCCCCGCCCCCGCTAGCCGAAGCTGTGTGGTGACCAACCTCCCGCTCTGGACCGGGAAGGGGATGGAGCCGCCGGGGAGGGGTGGGGTGGGGTATGCTGGCCGCCGGCCGAGCCGGCCTGGAATCTGGCCGCTGCGGGCCTGTGCTTCCGCACTCCCCGGCTCTGCGCGTCGCCTCTCGCGGCAGCGCCTCGCCTCCCAACTGTAATTCCACCCTCCTGAGAGCGCTGTGGCTGCGGAATCATTTGAGGGAGCTGGAACTGCATCAGATAAGCACGCCGGGAGGTGAGATAGGGTAGGAGATAGTCGAAACTTTGAGTGTTACGCTGCTGCGCATCCCCCAACCCCACCCCTAATTTCCCCCTCCCAGCTGCCACCTCCCCCACCCTCTGGATTCTTCAAGGTTTGCAGCCCAGTCCTGTCATATGGTTTTGTTTCTGTGCTGCTGCTTTTTTTCAGACACAAAAATTGGACACGTGGAGAATTAGCCGGACTGGAGAAGCACTGAGTGCAGTCAAACAATGGTTTCCAGCAACGAAGCTGAAGCAGTACCTTTCCCACCGCACCCCAAGTTGCAGTGGCTTTGGTGTACAGGGGCACACCCCATCACTGCCCACCCTTCCCCCAGAGCCTGGGAAGGGACCAGTGTGGGCTGCATTTTCTAGCAGCTCTTACACCCCTCCCAGTGCCTGGACTGCTGGCTTTAAGATCATTGTGCCTGGTGTCCTTGGGGAATTATGAGGAATGGGCCTGCTATTTTTCCCTGGGAAGGTGCTGTCTCAAAGACGCCCCCCCCCCAAGTATTAATGTTTAAAAACCCACCCAGGCTCTCTATCCTTTGGCAGTTCTACTCTGCAAAGGCTGTCCTTTCCTAAGCTGCTTGGAGCTCTCCCCACCCCATCTGACGGTCGGGTCTCCAGGTGGCAGGGCCTCTTTTGAGCAGCTTCCTTTAGCCATTGTCTTCTCCAGAGGCCAAATCTTCCACTGCAGCCCTAGCCTTGGCCCCCAGCCTCTGTGAGGCACCTAGGACCAAACTACACTGGCAGCAGCCTCACGCAGCAGCCACCCCAAGCAGCTCCTCTAACAGCAGCCCGTGCATCTCGCTGGGCACACACATACTGCACAGAAGCTCTCTGCCTCCTGGAGCTGGTTTCCTCTTTCAGGCTCCCGTCAGAGCTGCTCAGGCTATGGCAATGCCTGTGGCTCCCTTTGCAGGCCTGGGTCTCCCTGGAGTGCTGTGAGCTGTGAATTTGCCTTCTCTTTCCTTCTTGCAAAGGTCAAGCCATCTCCTTCTCTGGCATGGGCACAGTTCAGTTCTGGCCTGCAGAGCTCATACTCTGCAGCTTGAATATAGGTATGGGGTGGACATCCATGCAGGGGAGAAGTCATTCCCAAGCCAGGGAGCAGGGACCAAGGGATGTGGGATTCAGTAAGAGGAACACTGCAGACAAATCACAGAAAGCAGCTCCAGATTTGCCAGCCAGGGACTCAAGAGAGGGAGAGAAAACCAGGCAAAGGCTGTTGAGCCTTGACTCCTGAAAAGTAGGCCTTTCTCCTCCAGGGGCTGCCCTAGAAAATGCCAGGAGAAGAGGCCCCAGGTATCTGCACTTGTTCCAGGGCCCAAGCACCTCCAGTCAGGCTGCAATCCACTCCAAGCAGGAATCAAAAGCAAGCAAATGGGCTAAGGCTTTGAATTCAGTGGCCATGGCAGATCAAGTCAGCTGCGGCCCCCCCCAGAGAGGCCTTTCAGCCACACCAACCCCAGGAAGGCTACTGAGCTGTGCAAGTAGCAGGAGGTAGACTGCAACATATCAGATGTGGAGAAAAATGAGAGGAAACGCCATTAAACTTGCTTCCTCTAAAGAGAGCTATCCCCAGTTCTCTCTGAACTGTACCTAAAGAGTGAGGAGAGAGAACTCGTTAACTTTTGTTTGGTTTAACATTGCCAGCTTCAAGTCAACCGTGGGCCCCCCGAAGGTTTTGTAAAATATTTAATCTAGCTCAGACAATTTCCTGAAGTCCCTAACTGGACCACCCCATTTACTGAGCAGCTGCCAAAAAAGCAGGCTTGACTGCAGGCTGGCAACCAGAAGTCTTCCAGCCGCCTGGCTGGCCTGTACCCCCCATTCAGGAGTCTGGACAAGTCCCTTGAGAGAATCCAGAGAGGTGCGGTCCAAGTGGTCAGGAAGAAGCCCCGGAAATGAAGTTAAAAATGTCTCTGTTAGCTGGTGGTGTCTGTGTGACCTTCTGCAGCCCGCCTTTCCTGTCCCTGAACTCTGTAAAATGGGCGTGCTGTCCACTTTCCTGGGTACTATGCGTTTTAAAGAGCAGCACTATGGGAGGGGGGTGACTCCCTGCGTACCCCCAGCGCCCTCCGCTTCCACCCCTTTACTGTTTCCCGCCAACATCATCTCCCTATGGAACAAGGCCAGCGGGAATGGGATCCTTCGACTGCGCTGAGCCTCAGCTCCTTGCAAACGTGAGGCTCACGGGGAGAACTACTGCTCTGCCCAGTTTCCATTCCCGCTTCCAGAATAACGAGCCGAAAACATGTGTACTGTAAATAAAGCCTGTCTAAATAAAGCACTCGGGTAAAGGCTGCCGAGAAAACACTCGGCATCGCTCTGTGCTCAGAGCGTGAGTCAGCTTCCCAGCTCCCGGGGAACAATGGGGAGCTTGCCAAGGGTCCCCTTCTGTGACCCCTGACGGTCCCCAGGCCCATTTAGGTGACAGAGACACCGGCCCATTGGGACCCGCGGCCTCGAGGTTCCGGAGTGGGGAGGGGCGCTTCTGGCTGCTGGAGGTTGGGGTCCAACCCCGGGATTAGTGCCGGCAGGAATCCCTCTACCCGCAGCTGCTGCGGAGGGGTTGAGGGTTAAATAAACACCGAGCTGAGGAGCGAGCCTGGGGCTCTATGGGGCTGCGGCCCGCCGGGCGCGGAGACCGGAGGAAAGGGGACGCTGGGGGCGCTCGCTTGCTACGGAGCCTCGTGGAGGGAAAAAGACCCCTCTCCGTTCCCAAGCCAGGCTCTTGCCCCCTCGGCTGACCGCCTCTCTTCCTCAGCCCCCCGAATCTCAACGGAAACCAACACAGCTGCTGCCGGAGTCACCACACTCCTTTGCAGTCCCCAAAGGCCCATATATGTACACTAGCGCCCCGACACACGTGTGCTGAGGACTCCAGGAGGCCCTGCCCCAGCGCTCGAAATGTGGGCGCCAAGGCTAAGTGAAAACGCGCCCCTTTGATGGAGGGCAGTGTTGGGACTAGTATTGGCTCCGAGCTAAGTCTTCTATCGTATCCTCTGGGCTCCTTTGCGGAACTACGCACCCCCCAGGAGGGTTCCGACTGGAGCGGTGGCCTCTGCTCTGGCGTGAGTCCGTGGTTTCCCCACACTCCGTGACCTTGGGGGTCAGTGATCCACCCGGCAGGTCCGCGGTTTCCGGAGCCGCGCGGCCTGCCCTTTCTCTCCGCCTCTCCGGCCAAGGCCATCCCTAGCTACCCGGCCTGGTTGTGCTCAGCCAGTCTCCCGGCCCCGAGCGGGAGCGCAGAGGTGAAAGCACCGGGAGCCTCACTCACGCCTTACGGTCCAGGGATGGCGCTCCAGCAGCCTGAAATTGCCAAATCGTCGCTGGGCAGGGTTGGGGGCGAGGCTTTGGCAACCGGGTTTGAGCTGGAGAAGGCGAGGAAAACAAGTGAAACGGGAGGGGCGGGGTGGGGTGACGGCTCATAAATCACCCAGCCCCACCCTCGGGCCTCACAGCAGAGGCGCCCCAGCCCCGCGGGGGATGGAGGGTCACTCGGCCACTCCTGTCTGACCTCTGAGTTCTCCCGGAGTCAGCGCCCCACCCCGGGCTCAGGCCACTCTAGGACCAACTCCCTGCCCGAATCGTAAACCACCAGCCCGATTCGGCGGGAAGCCGCCCTTGGACGAGCGCGCATCCGCCCAAGGGGAAGTTTATTTATAGCTTGTAAACGTAAAGGAAACCAGACCGCGCTGGCTTGCGGCGCTAGGCTCCTACGCTCCCCACCTGCCCACCAGAGAGGCGCGCTCGGGAGGCGTGGGGGTGGCCTTGATTCTCTCCCTTCCCCCCACCCTACCCTGCTCCGCGCCCTGGAGAACAGGATAGGGTCCTAAGAGGTTGGCAAGCCTTAAATTTCTCTTAGGATGTGTATCCAGTGCCGTGAAAGCCGGAGAGGGCGGAGGACAGGGCCCGGGCACCGGTGTGCTGAGGGTGGGGGCGGCCGAGCTGTCCCACTTGGCACGCACCGGCGAGCAGGCCTGGCAGTGCGACGCGGGATTCCGCAGCTCCCGCTCCGAGCCCAGGGAAGTCCTGGAGAGCCCGGGGGCACTCGGGGAGCCTCTCCTTGGAAGGCGGGATGCTTCCCCCGTTCTTCCCCAGCACGTGTCCACAGCAGAGCAGGCAAGCGTCGCGCGCCTGGGGCTGCGATCGGCGGGCGACTGCAGCGGAGAGCGCTCCCTTCCCAACCCCCACCCCGTCGTCGCCACCTCTCCCAGGGAGCTCCAGGCTCCAGGGTGCGCTCTGGGCAGGCCTAAGGAGCCACCGAAAAGGAAAAGTGCTGGAGAGGAGATTCCGGAGAGAAGACATTAAAAAGCCCACCCTTGAATAGACAAGCAGCCAAGCTGAAAAAGACGCCTGCGAGCCCCCGGCCCGCACTAACCAACCCCCGGCCCCAGCGGCCTCTCCCAGTCCCGGCGGAGCCCACCCACCCCCGGCTCAGGCCAGGCAAATTCGTGTGTGCCCGCGCGCACGCGCGAGTGCGAGCGCCGGGCGGGCAGTTGCGAAACGGGCTCTTGGCTGCAGCGCGGCATAATGGAGGTGGCTGGAACAATGCGCGCTTTGTGCGCGCGGGGAGTTGTTTTCCACCCGCCTCGCCCCCCTCGCTCTGGCCGTATGGCACTTTAATCCCCGCCACGGCTCAGCACAAATGCACTTGTGTCCTGCGGGTCACCAGGGGCCGTGCGGGTGGAACCGACCCCCTCCAAACGCAGACCCCACCGCCAGTTGCCCCATCTTCCTTCCTGCGCACCGCCCCCCTGTCCACCCCCGCCACCACCTCAATTCCCGGCGTAGGCCATAGAGCCGGCTTGGAAGCTTCCGGGCCCGCGGGCCACTTTTATTTTCCGCGGAGACGGCGAACTCCCCTTCCCCTGCCGCCCCCTTCGCGCGCGTCCGCGCGCGCACACACACACACACGTACACACACACCCTCTCTCTTTCTCTCCCTCTCCCTCCCTCTCTTCCCCTCTCTCTCCCACTATCTCTTTATCTCTCTCTTCGGCGGACCGCAGGCCCCACACTTGCTGCCCTCCCTCTCCTCGCCTTGGCCCGCCCGCCCCCGCCCCGTGCTCCGGACTCCTGCGAACAATAGTAAATGTCAACAGATTCCGTGCGGCGAGTGTCTGACTCGGCCGAGATAAGGGTGCGCGGCTGGCCCCGGCGCTCCGCGCCACCGCGGGGGGAGCCCGCTCTGACCCTTGCAGGAAAGAACCGGCTGTGACGAAACCCATGCCGGGGAGCGGGCGTGTGGATGGGAGGGGGGCCCCCAGTCCCAGCCCGGTGGGGTTGTATCTCCGGGAGACCAGGCCCTGCCCCGCCCCCACCCCGCTTAACCCGGTGCTAATGGGAGGCTGATGGGCACAGTGAAAGCGGCGGGGTCCGCTTGGCGCTACGGCCTGCTTTCAGCTGCTCACGGTGCCACTGCCCCGCGGACGCAGGGAAAAGGCTGATCCCGGGCAGGACGCAGGCAGATTCGATCTGCTGGAAGCCTGCACCCGAAAGACGCAAAGGGTTCGCGTGCTTGTCTCTGGAAAATCATTAAAATAAATATTTAAGCGAGCACAAACTCTCGCAAGTCCTCCTCCTCCTTTGTAGTCCTCAACCCACGACCCAACAGAGTTAAAATTCACAAATTGATTCTCACGCGTTGGTATTAATGGGTTGTTCCTCTTAAATTGTTGCCAACTTTGCTAATGGATTATTATTTAAATGATTTCTTTTTTATAAAGTACGTGTTGTTTTATAGATGCGTATTTACTTAAAGAAATCAACTGCATCTATTAACATATTAAAGAGAGAATAAAGCATCGGGCCGGTGTAATGTACTGTTCAGCCTTACTTTGGGTGCTCGGGAAGATAGGAAAATCTTATTTGTTTAATAATAAGTCACTCATGAATATGCAAATGTATCGGTGCAGTACCTCACTTCTGTCACTATTAATGAGTTGCAAATTAATGTGACAACAAAAGGAAAATCTATTTAGTGGAGGAACGCGGGTTCCTACCTGGGGAGATCACAAGCCGGCCTGGAACCTGGGTCCCCAGGAAGGAGAGGAGTGGGGATGGACACTTCAGTTACCCAGTCTCTTCCTGAAGCCTTCACTGTTGTTTGGTCCCAGGGACCTGCTTTGTCAGGAGCCCCTTAAAATTCCTGTTCCAGGCTAGAGGAAGAAAGGCTGCAGGGTAATTAGGGCCAAGTGTGATTAATGGAAATCAGCCCACAGTTTGAAGTAAAGCAGCTGGTAAAGTAGATTTGGGGGTATCTCCCCCACCCAGCTTAAAGATTCCCCAAAGCCTTTTTGGCCTCAGATGCTTTGGACAGTTAGAAGTTTAAGTACCAAATCAGGCCTCACAGGCCTGACCACAGTTATTAAGACAGCACCCCATGTGCTTGCATTTTACGAGGTGACTCTTCTGATGGGAGATTTAGGAGCAGATCGGCTCGTTCTCCTGCCAACTTACTTCCCGAAGGTTACAGACTGAAATCTAGTTGTCTTCCATTTGAGCTGTGGCTCCTTTCTGGCCCACACATCACAGCCTGTTTTTATTTCATCGATGGATGCTGGAGAGAATGTTTCTAATCCGGTTAAATTTGGAAATGTCTCCAAGAAAACATAAATACTGAGCTGCCCAGAGCTGTAGGCTAATAGTTCAAATGCCTCGGTAAAATTTCGAGAAGCTGTTTGACTAGGAACCTTCTGGGGAGATGCATATATTCTATATCTAACCTGATGGATGGCTACATGGTTACATACAAATGTAAAAATTCATCAGGCTGTTACACTTAGGATTTGTACACTTTACTATGTATAAATTATATCTTGTTCCATTTATCTATTACTGTGTAGAGCCACCTCAAAGCTTAGTGGTATAAACAATAATCATTTATTTTGCCCAAGAATCTGTGATCTAGGCAGGGCTTGGCAGAGACAACTCACCTCTGCTACACACTGTGTCAGCTGGGGCAGCTCAAGTGGAACTCAAGGATCCATTTTCAAGATGGCTCACACACATGGCTGGCAAGTTGGTGCTGGCTCTGGTTCTTCTCCATGTGGGTCTCTCCACAGGATTGCTTGGGCTTCCTCACAGCATGGTGGCTGTGTGCCAAGAGTGAGCACCTGAGAGAGAAGAAATGGAAGCTGCCAGTTACTTAAGGCCTGAGCCTGGAAGCTATCAGTGTCAAGTCTGCCTATTGGTCAAGCAGTCACAGAGCCCAGGTTCAAGTGGGAGAGGACACCAACCCCTCCTCCCTCTTATCACTCAGTGGGAGGTGTGTCAAAGATTCTTGGGACTGTTTTAAAGTTACCACATAAGAAATCAGAATACAGGACATCATCTTTTGTTTCAAGTCCTACCCCACCTTCATTTCCTTCCACATTTCTTTCCCCCAACCATCAATTATTTGATATCCCAGCAAATTTGTGTGGGTGTGTATAAAAAAGACCACTTACATTTGGGTTTTAAATTACTATTAATTTGTTACAGTTCCAGATTTTAAAATCAAGACTTCCACAAGTCTTTAACTTCCTTTTATTAACCTTGGTATTTTTATATAAAATTAGAGCAATCATCTTCAGAGAGGCCTTTAATTAAAGCTTCATCAAGGCAAGTTCAGTAAACTAAATGCTCTTAAACTGTCCCACCCACTTAGAAGTTTAGCTAAATTAAATTGTAAATTTAACTAAATCATAATTTTTCTAAACATTTGAGACGGCAATACATGTATTGAATTTGTTTTTATGTTCTTTTTAAGCATTCAAATGCCTGAATGGACAAACTTACGACCTTAATAAGCAAAACCTTCCCAAGGACTTAAACATTTATAAATCAAATAAATTAAATTTGTAAATATAGTGAACATCCAGTTGCCTTCAACGTTGCAACTCTTCTTTCCAAGTCAAATTTTAACTCTTTTTACCTTGGAATTGCAAGTCTGAAGTCTATTATACAATTTTTAGTTGGAATAGTATAGCCAACCTGTCTGATTCTCTACTACTCCCCAGTTTTCAAAAATGCTACAAATTAAATCACATACAGAGATTGTTCCTGAACTTAACCCCAAAATATGGCTTCAGTATATTTGATTGATTTTATCTCCTTATTCAATTCTCAACCTTCCCAAGGTTAAAAGGATGCCCTCTGAGGAATGTGTTTTGCCACCTCAAAAGGAGTTGAGGTTACTTCACGTAAGAAAAAATCTAAAGCTTTGGAATAAGCAAAAGAGATTACTGGCTATTCTTTCATAGGAATGCTGGAGCCTAGGAGTGGGTGAGATCCTTGGAACCTACTGGGATGTGACCCTTTGTCTTTGACTAGGCTATTTTACAACTCTATAAGGTGCAGACATCTAGTAGCACTGTGAATACTTCTTGCCTATAGACAAGCAAATAACTTCTATCTGGGGAAGGGACAACCCCCACCCCCACCCCCACCCCAAAAGCCAGTTTTGCATCTCTATGCAAAGTTATTGCAACTCCTGATCTATAAATGTTTCTATTCTTGTAATTCTCCCTTGAATCGGTTATAATATCTCACCCATTTCCTCACTTAATTAATGAGTTAAATAAAATCTTTGACATGAGTTCATTTTGTATTTGTATGAGAGTCATGATTTTGCCTTCTTTTGAGAATTATCTTTTAACCGTGGTCAATGGTTCGTCACACTACACAGATAGTATTTGTGGCCAGCTAGAAATTGGAGGCCAGGATGCAGGATATAGGCCTTACAAATCTTCAGGGAGAATTTGCTCATGCCCCAGACAGACCGGCAGAGCCCTTTTGAAGCCTGTTTATAGTTGCCATGACAACTGAAGATCCGAGGCCTTACCCTTCAGGTGGAATTTTCTTTCTCAACTTCAGGTTCCAAGTTCAAGGTAAATGCTACCATGTTTCTTTTCTAACCACTTCTGTCTCTCCACTCTGTCATTTGATTGTAGGAGTGGGAAATAGGGAGTTACCACCCATGCTGCATCAACACTTGATTGGATTCAATTAACCTGTTTACCACTTGTGGTTTTTAAATATGTCCACAAATTCTTTGATTCTCCTGCCTTTTTTCAAAAGGAGGAGTCTGATTTTCCTGTCCTTAGTTGTGGGCAGTGCTTAGCGACTCTCTTCAAATGAATAGAAATGGGACAGAAGTGACTGTGTGTGTCATCCATGAGTAGGATATAAAAGGCATTGTGGCTTCATGGTTGCTATCTGGGGGAAGCCAGCTGCAGTGTCATGGGCACATTCAAGCAGCCCTATGGAGAGAGCCATGTGTCAGAGGACTGAGGCCTCCTGCCAACAGCCATCTGAATGAGCCATCATAGAAGCACATCCTGCAGCCCCAGTAGAATCCTGAAATGACTGCATCCCTGGCCAACATCTTGACTACAACCTCATGGGAGTCCCTGAACCACAGCCATTCAGCTAAGCTGCTCCTGCTTTCCTGACCCACAGAAACTCTGAGATAATAGATGTTTGTTGTTTTAAGCCACTAAATTGTGGGATGATTTGTTATGCAGCAATAGATAACTCATACATGAGTAAATCTGGCATTTGGACATAGCTCTAAACCATTCTGATAACACTAAACACATTTCTATTTTGCCCAGATGGGTGTATGTGCTTCTTCTAACCCCCAATGGAAGACACCCACCTATTTTTCTCAACCTTGAGAACCATTTTCTAACAGCCCTGAGGAATAACCTAAATCACATTACTGGGAATAAGAGAAAAAGAGTGAACTAAATATATATGGCAAAATAATGTTTCCAGCAA